TAGACCCCCACGGCTCCCCCCCCCCCCCCCGCCAGGTCTTGGCCCCAGACCCTCCCCCCAAGCTGTCTCCCCCGAACATGGCGTCTGGCTTGGCCGGAGGCGGCGCTCCGGGGTGGGATTAACCCCAGTCCTGCGCTGCTGGGATCGCTGCCTCCAGCTCCTCGCACTGGTCTCGCCCCCGCCCCGACAGCGCCCACTGGGTGGGGATCGTCTGAGGCTGCGAGACCCCCGGGTCACGTGGCTGCTGTGGTCTTGGGAGGCAGCCGGTTTCCCCCTTGCGCGCTCGCCTCGATTTACCGCCTCTCGTCTCTTCTCCGCAGACCCCGCTGTTGCGAAGTGCCGAGGGCGATGGCCGTCCCGGAAACCCGCCCCAATCACACCATCTACATTAACAACCTCAATGAGAAGATCAAGAAGGATGGTGAGCGAGCTCCCGGGGGAGTTCTCGCCTGGAGCTGGCCATGTGGGTGGCTGGGCTAAGGGGCTGGCACCGGAGCCCAGCGCTTTGGGGGGAGGCCGGGGGGTGTCTGGAGGACTCGCTCTCCCAGCCCCGCTCCTGCTCGCCTGTTGCTGTCTGGCCGAGGAGGACTGGGTGCTGAGGAGGGATAAAAGCGACTGACGCGGGGGGTGAGAGCCTCTGTCTGAGGCCGGCGTCCAGCTCCGTGTCTGTCTGATCGTGTACCTAACGCTCCAGTTCTCTCCCCTAGAGCTGAAGAAATCCCTCTACGCCATCTTCTCCCAGTTCGGCCAGATCCTGGATATCCTGGTGTCCCGGAGCCTGAAGATGAGGGGACAAGCCTTTGTCATCTTCAAGGAGATCAGCAGCGCCACGAACGCCTTGAGGTCCATGCAGGGGTTCCCCTTCTACGACAAGCCGATGGTGAGTGCTGGGGGCGGCCGTCTGGCGGGTGCCGTTGGCACTGCCCGAGCGGCTGCTTGGCCGTGCTCCCCCTGACGAGCTCTCTCCGCCCCCAGAGGATCCAGTACGCCAAGTCGGACTCCGACATCATCTCGAAAATGAAAGGCACCTACGTGGAGCGGGACCGCAAGCGGGAGAAGAGGAAGCCCAAAGGCCCGGAGACGCCCGTGGTCAAGAAACAGATGCCTGGAGCAGCAGCGCCGGTGGCAGCCGCAGTGCAAGGCGCTGTCCCCGTGAGTAACGTGAGCAGCGTCTCACGCAGGGCAGGGGCCGGTTGGCAGCCGGCGCTCGGGGCCTGAGGGAGCCTGTCCCAGCGCAGCCGGCATGGTCTGTCTCGGGCGGCTCTCAGGAGTCGGGCTGAGTCTGGCCCCAGCCGGCTGTGGTTAGCGTCTGGGAATACCAGGCTCCGCGGCCAGTGCGGACTCTGATGCGGATGCCAGGGCTGTGCCCAGGCAGCCCCCGAAGGCTCCGGGGCAGGGCAGCGCCCAGGATCGTGCTGTGAAGCTGGGCTCTCTCTCCCCTGTAGGGAATGCCGCCGATGAACCAGGCCCCCCGCATGATGCACCACATGGCCGGCCAGCCTCCATACATGCCCCCTCCGGGTATGATCCCCCCACCCGGCATGACTCCGGGAGGACTCGCGCCGGGGGCCATGCCCCCTCAGCAGATGATGCCTGGCCAGATGCCGCCTACCCAGCAGGTGAGTATGACAGAGCTTGGCCTGGCTCCAGCTCCTTTCCAGAGCGGACTCAGCCGTGTGGGGCAAACCTCCCTCTGGGGGTGGGGCTTGGGGTAACCAGGCCTTTCCCCTCCACGGTACTGGCTCCAGTGGGGAGCGGAAGAGCACTCGCGAGCTTGTGTGGGGGTAAGTCCTCCCCGCTGGCTCGGTGCTCGCCTCAGCCGAGATGCTGAGTCCCAGGGGACTCCTCTGCGGGGAGGGTGGCCTGGCCTGGGCACGGCCTCTGCTGCGTGCGTCTGGCTGGAGCTGCCCTGCAGGGGTCTCGGCCCGGCCCTCCCCTCCAGGCGGCGCTCGCCGTGTCTGGGCTCCCAGCCTGACCCCTCTCTCCCCCTCGCAGCTCTCGGAGAACCCACCCAATCACATCCTCTTCCTCACCAACCTGCCCGAGGAGACCAACGAGCTGATGCTGTCCATGCTCTTCAATCAGTGAGTGTGGGGCCTGAGGGTGCTGGGAGGGCCGACTGGGGCGGGCAGATGGTCCTGGACCCGGGGGGGGCGGGGGGAGTTGGACGGTCCAGGGCAGGGGGTGGAAGCGGGCGGCCCAAGGGAGCGGGGAGCATGGTGCTTGTGAGGCCAGCGGAGGGGGG